ATGGTCAGGGCAGCGGCAATGGTCAAGGTGATGGCCAGGGCCAAGGCAATGGTCAGGGCAGCGGCAATGGTCAAGGTGATGGCCAGGGCCAAGGCAACGGTCAGGGCGATGGCCAGGGCCAAGGCAGCGGTCAGGGGCAAGGCAGTCAGGGACAAGGACAAGGCAGTGGCAACGGTCAAGGTGACGGCCAAGGCCAAGGACAAGGCAGTGGCCAAGGACAAGGCAATGGTCAGGGCAGCGGCAATGGTCAAGGTGATGGCCAGGGCCAAGGCAACGGTCAGGGCAGCGGCAATGGTCAAGGTGATGGCCAGGGCCAAGGCAACGGTCAGGGCGATGGCCAGGGCCAAGGCAGCGGTCAGGGGCAAGGCAGTCAGGGACAAGGACAAGGCAGTGGCAACGGTCAAGGTGACGGCCAAGGCCAAGGACAAGGCAGTGGCCAAGGACAAGGCAGTGGCCAGGGCCAAGGCAGTGGCCAGGGCCAAGGCAGTGGCCAGGGCCAAGGCAGTGGCCAGGGCCAAGGCAGTGGCCAGGGCCAAGGACAAGGCAGTGGCCAAGGACAAGGCAGTGGCCAGGGCCAAGGACAAGGCAGTGGCCAAGGACAAGGCAGTGGCCAAGGACAAGGCAGTGGCCAAGGACAAGGCAGTGGCCAAGGACAAGGCAGTGGCCAAAGCAGTGGTCAGGGACAAGGCAGTGGCCAAGGGCATGGCAGTGGCCAAGGACAAGGTAACGGCCGACGCTGATAGCCAAGACTGGCGACCGAACTTACCACATTCCTCTAATTACCTCTTCATCTGCGAAATGTACACCCGAGTAATCAAATATGAGAAAATTCGATTCTGCAAGACCATTCTCTTTCATTGGTGAAGACCCCTAAACAACTGGTTGGCTGTCACCCGCTCGAAACCATCCAGGTACATTGGCCGAGGAGGGCTGTTGTGAAACAAAGACAAGGACAATGGTAATGATTCAACCAGATGAAAAGACTAGTTCAATAACAGATCGAATTGGTGACTTTCAACGACTCGCCTTCCCATAGTAACGCATCTGTTACCTGAGCCGTCTGCGTGCGATCGCAATGAGCCACCTGTTGACAAGTCGGTGCCGTATTTTCTCCTCCGTAGTGCTCGAGAGGGAGGAATGTTCAGAATTTACAATCACCATGTTACGGTCTATAATGCCTTGGGGTCAAGCGCAATCAGGGTCTTTCGGCAACCCCCCCTACCGTTTTCGTCAGCCTTGATATTCCCAATGAAATGGCAAGTGAATGCTGTTCATGCGAATCAGGCGACGAAAGAACTGTGGCGTACACCACTGGGTGGAGCTGATTAGCACTAAAGAGTCAACAATGTGCACGTAGTGAACATCACTAGAGTAGTGTGTGGCACCATGGTGTTGTAAGCCCTTTTTATTCATTGATGCGGACCAAGAGAGTGCATTTATTGAGGCAACTCGGCAATCTTCTCGTCGAAGATCTTTTCCGCGCGCTTCCAGACACCGTCGGTATCTCTCTTGTCCAAGGTCAAAAGGCTGGGCAGCAGGAGCGAAGAGAACTCATCACTCGACTCGCGCGCCACCAGGGTTGGCAGGTGATCGATGGAGATGATCCTCAGCTCTGGACCCTCGGGAATCTCCTTGGATGTGGGTACAGTTGGCTTGTCGAACGTCGACCACGTGGTGTAGATGGGAATGGGGTTGTTCTCGCTGTTGGGGTCGCAGCTGACGTCGCAGATGATGCGCAGGCGGCGGTCGGCTTTGTTGAGGGTCTCGAAGGTTACAAACGGCGGGATCTTGTGGGGACCAAGGTACACGCAGTTGATGAAGATGTCGGATTCCACAATTTCTTGGAAGGGGCCCCCCTTCTTGGTCTCCTCCATGTCCCACTTGAGGATCGAGTCCTCGGGGATGCCCGCGGTGCGGAACATGTCAGTGGCTCCCTTGCCGCACCGTCCCAAGGCACCAATGACAATGCCGCGAGGAAACTTGCCACCGTTGGCCGCGACAGCGGGTTCCAAGTTCGCCTTGATTTGATCAGCGAGCGCAGTGGCAGAGTCGTATGTTGGCACAGGCCCAAGAGCCTCGCCGGGGTGGAGGATCTGGTGCGCCCAAGCGAGTAGGGCGATGGCCGTCCCGGCGTAACCTGCCCAGTAGCCAAAGGCGGCGACGCGGCGTCCATTTTCTTCCGTGACTGAGATTTCCGTGTTAGTTGACCACTGGTTGGGGGCCGAGGGCTACGCGGCGTCTTACGGAATTCGAGGTCGTAAAGCTTGCCGCCGCCGCGAGCAAAGCGGGAGAGGTTAGCCTCCCATCCGTCCTGCTTCTTGAACGCGTGCTGGAACGAGATGCTGCAAGCTGTCAGTAGCTGTGGTGGAAGCGTGGCCTTGGCAAGTATTACTGGGCATGCTCCAATGGCCTGTCGTCTTCGGGGAGCTCCTTCAACCCCAAGATGACATCCTCCTTGGGAGCGTCGCGCCATGATCCGGCGGGCACCAGCTCAGCGCCAACCTTCTCGTATTCCTCATCCCTGTAGATACGGTCGGGGGATCGCTCCACGCGGACAATGTAGCCAGCATCGAGGAGGGCCTTGGCTGAGGCAGGCGAGACTAGGCAAAGGGGTCAATTGGCGGTCAAGACAGGACGAGGAACGTATGCTCACGCGACGTGCGGCGCTCAAAAGGCTTGGTGTCGACTCTGTGGTGAATGACGGTAGGCATGGTGGGCGAATTGGTTGTGTTTAGACGTGCAAAAATGGGCAGCTGTCGATGGCGAAGATTTGTATTGTTGATGCGCGCCGCGATCGGAATGCTGTGACTGACTTCACATGACGCAGGGTCCAGCCTTTTGAGCTCTTGGTGGGGTTGCTGGCGAGGGGCACGTCGAAGCACGTGACCTTTCCAGACCAAACGAAAGCTCAAGGCGGTACAGCCGTAGAATGGGGTTTGAGAGATGCATGTTCTGCGGGAACAGCCATGTCTAATCATTGGCCTTTGATATCTTTTTGATTTAACACAGGCATACCACGAGGTCTGAATCAAATTCTTTAAATGCTGACCCTGGAATAACCATATAATGCTATCAACATCCCGTCTCCCCAACAAATGGTTTCGTAGTCTAGTTGGTTTATGGCATCTCGTTAACACCGAGAAGGTCCCCGGTTCAAGCCCGGGCGAAATCATTTCTTTTGCACTTTCTACTCTTTTGACACCTACAAGTAGTCTTCCTTCCGTGCCATTCGTTCCCCTGGCAGCATCCGGTGTCTTTTTCTATATTTACAAAAACCTTCCCCTTTTTTGGTCAGGTCGGTGTCAGTCGGTATCGCGTGATACTGGTAGAGCCCGTGCGCAGGCAGCAGTGCGCTAAGAGCAGGAACCGCGATGCGTCCACCTGGTCCGGGCGGGGAGATCGACTGGAGCTAGGAAGTTAGGAACGTGTTTTGACAAACGTTACTACCGCTGGATTGCACCGGCTGAGAGGTGCCTGATCAAGATGGCCACTTGCAATCTATAATTTGTCTGTCTTGCATTGCCAGTAGTACTGAGTTGTGGAAAGTCACCATACTCCATGCTCGACTTACCCTATTCAAGTCTGTCTGTCTTCGAGTTAGTGGGATTCATCCGCTCGACCGCACGATATATGATAATCATTGATCTGTTCAAATTGGGAGACTTGGAGGTTGATTGAAATGGAACTTGGAAAATAAGCAAAGGGGTGCAACCTCCCTTCATTTCTTGCGGTACCATATCCTGGAAGGCCTGTTGCCCCTGATCTTCCGCTGCAACTGGAAAATGCCATACATGAGCGCTTCTGCAGTTGGCGGGCAGCCTGGAACATAAATATCGACAGGGAGAATGCGGTCGACACCTCTTACCACACTGTAGCTATAGTGGTAGTAGCCTCCTCCATTGGCGCAGGATCCCATACTGATAACCCATCGTGGCTCAGGCATCTGATCGTAGACCTGGCGCACGGCTGGCGCCATTTTGTTGGTCACTGTTCCAGCGACGATCATCACATCCGCTTGCCGAGGCGAGGCACGGAAGATAATGCCCAGCCTGTCTTGATCGTAGCGGGGCATGGACACATGCATCATTTCGATACCACAGCAGGCCAGTGCAAATGTCAAAGGCCACATGGATCCGTTGCGGGACCAATTGGCCAGTTGATCGAAAGTTGTTCTTTGGTTCTCTGGGTCAGCATTGGCCGGATGTGGACGAGTAGAGACGGCTCTTACAAGGCATATTCGACAACGCTGCTTGGCTTCACGTCGGCAGTCAAAGCTGCCGGGTGGTTTCTTTGTCCACCTTCTTGTCCAGATGAAACGAGTTGACGCTGTTGTAGATACGGTGGCGGTGGTAGGGTCGTTCGTATGGAGGTCGTCCTCGCCAGGGAGTGATTATTCCAAACCCTTCGCGTTACTCCTATCCGTGTAAGTCAACCGTCACTCACGAGGTTCGCGTACTCACCCTGCGCAAGTCGGGTTCTGAACATCTTGGACTCAAAGATGGGACGCCACAGAATTATTGAAATAGAGAAAATGGCGAGGAGGTGGAAGTTGAAATGAAAGATATGTTACTTGTGGAGGTGCGATGAGTGTATGCCGGGAGTAAACCACATGCTGTGGTCAGAAACACGTTATGCAGATACTTGGGAGAGAGGGGAAGCCTAAAGCTGTAGAGCAAATTTAATGTGATCCAAAACGTTGTCAAACTTTGAATTACACTTAAAATATTTAAAAACTCATTTGACGAGCATTTACGCTATTTTTATTACGATGACGCTCCACCGCATGTCAATAACTCGAGTGAAGCAGAAGTGATTTCTTAACATCCGTGAGCTTCACCTCCACCAGCGCGGAAAATTCCCACACCGCACTCACTTCGCCCTGCCACGAACCTTTGATTATCTTGCCCAAGGCCCACACTGCAGAAATGGCATCAAACGCTGGCTTTATATGTGCCATCTGCAAGTTGCCGAGGGCTTGTGAGAATGAGATTGACAACAAAAAGTGTCCATTCTGCGCCAAGGGCTTCGGTCGAGCCGATGTTGCGCGTCGCCATGCTCTGAAGTGTCCCTCACGAGCTGGTCGATCACTCCCGCAGATCAAACGCGGCCGACGGCTGCGTGCATGCGACAGCTGCTGTCGGAGCAAGTCTTCTTGCGATTCGAAAGTCCCATGCGCACGATGCTCTCAGCGCGGAAAGACTTGTACCTACAACTCTCTCTGCACCGACCCAGCGCATGCTTCCAAGACCAGGAGTGAACATGGTGACGAGGCCAACCGCACGACCAAGACGCCATCACGCCTACCATTTCTGCTGCAGAGCACCGACCCAAGCAAGGGCTTCGAAGACTTGATGGCGGCAGTTGCTGCTGCAGAACCCCATATGAAGCAAACAGACCCGGACCTTGAGAGTACAGAGGTGTTAGCTTGGAGCGCCGATACCATTGACCCGAGAATACTTCACATGGATTTCTCAGCGATGCTCTTTGCAGACGATGACTTGATGCTCAGCTCATATGGTCAAGGTGACAGAGCATGCACGGCCGTGTCGCCCGCGCGCGTCGACACACTCATGTGTGAGCTGGAGAGCGTGCTCGCTTTCAAGCCACGTCTGCGGGATGGATTCACCCAAAGTCTTGACCAAGGCTTCTTCACGGCGACACATTTTCAACGGGCTCTCGATACATGCTCACGAAGACGGCAGTGCTATCACACTACATTTATCCACTGGCCGACATTCACCCCTGACAAGTCGCCCTTGGCGCTGCTATTGGCATTGGTGCTTATAGGAACAGCTTACCTCACAGCTGGGGACGACTTGCGAGGATGGCCATCACCGTCCCTGAACCAGTCCCTCGTCGAGCTCTCGGAGAAATACACCTTTACAGAGCTCAAGCGGTATACCACGCGAGCCGCCGGCGATCTCGACGACTTTCTGCCTGCGTGCCAGGCCGCAAACATGATCGTGTCGCTGCAATGTAGCATTGGCACCCCTGAGACTCGCAGACGCATGGCCTGCGAGCGACAGCCGGCAGTCGTGGCCGCCGCCCGCGCCGCCGGCGTTGTGGGAGCGGCTCACAGCCCCTGCGGAGAGACAGAGTGGACCGACTTTGTCCATCGCGAGGCTTGTATCAGGCTTGTGACCAGCGCCTTTACAAACGACACATTGCTGACGTGCTTCTTCAACCATCCTCCCTCCATGGCGATCGCTGAACTATCCGGATCGATGCCCAGCCCCAACGAGGTATGGCATGCAGAGTCGGAAGCCGAATTCCATGCGCACACCCATCACCTGGAAGAGTTGCAAGGCCAAGTGTCTTTCAGCGAGGCGATCAATGCGCTCATGAGCGAAGAAGCAGTGTATGCGGAGGCAGGCTTGGGGAAACTGAGCCTCAGCCAGCTGCACGTCACTGTGCTGGGCTTTCAACATGTCATCTTCAACTACAAAGCCTCTATGCTCCCAAAGTCGGGCTTGGCCACTATTGTACGTGCCCTAGATCGTTGGGTCTTGCTCTGGGCTACCGCCTTGGACCGCATCGAACCGCATGACCGCAAATGGCTCGGGATCGCCAAGTATGCGCCCGAGATCGCGTTGATATCTCGAAAGGTGCTCGAGACTATCTTGCGGGAGCAGGAGGGGGAGATGAGCTACTTTAGACGGATCGCAAACTACGACAGCAGCGCTTTTCATGAAATTGTTTGCCATTACACAAAGGAAGCTGAAGCCTCCGTGTAGACCGGCTCCTCTAATGGACACTCTGAGACTATATAAAATTTTTGCCTGACGAGCCTCACAACTCGGAACGATACACAGTTGTCGACGTTGTCTTCTGGATGCCTTGTCGAGACAGGCCCGACGCCATGCCGCTTTGATCGGGGTCCTCGCCGGCGGCGCGAGCCGAGGAAACGATTGTCGTAGCAGCGCCACTCTTGCCTGCCAAGTCGTACTCGTCCCTCATCCGCCCCAAGGCAATGGCCTCCTGGCTGCTCGTCTCGTCTGCGAGGTCATCCGCTGGACGGCTTCTGTTGCGCCCGCCGCTGGACAAGGCCTGCCAATGCTTGGAACTCCGACTGGTGCCGTGGCCGTAAATATGGCTCGGGTCGTTGCTTGGCTTTGTGCCCCGTCCGTAGACGCTGCCGAGGAAGCTCTTGAAGATGGGGCGCAACGTCGGCAGACTTCCCGCGACGATACCGACATTGGTCTCCGCCGCTGTCCAGATGGTGATGTCCTGCGAGTCCCACAGGAAGTCGCCCACCTTGCCATAGTTGACAACGTAGCCAACCTTGACGAGGGCGGCGGCGCAGGCGAAGACACCGAGGCCGAGGACAAACAAGAGAGTGACGCGTGTCCGTCGGTGCACGTTCAGGTTCCACAGCATGGGGGCAGGGATGACGACGGCAAAGAGGAGATCTGTGATGATGTTGAGGGCATTGTTCGTGTACGACAGGCTCTGGAGGGTATGCATCGTCCAGCAGGTCGACTGGATGTTTGGGTTCCATAGGACACGAATGTCCGTGCACTGTAAGATGATGGTCTGAAGGCGAGGTCAGTCAAGAGAGGCAAAACTGGCAAAGACGAGAGACCCACGAAGAAGCAGGCAATGGTATAGAATAGCATAAAGCCCATGATGCCACTGATCAGCCAGGTGTAGAACTTGGTGGACGCGATCCGCAGAAGCGAGCAGCCCACGGCCAATTTGACAAAGCAGATGGCAAACAGATACGTTGGCTGGCTGATAAAGTTCAGCTTCATCCCAGTCTGAAAATCATCGGCGGGAACATCGCCACGATGTCGGCCAGCGCCATATTGGACCGAGGCGACAGCCAGGCCGCAACCAGCCAGCGAAGTCATCATGGTGAGTGCCATCATGGCGTCCTGTCTCGGTCAGCTGTATAGTCTTTGCTTTCCCACATCCTCTGTACATACGTCCCATCCAAGGCTCCTGATCATGACCGTGCGAACGTAGAACCTTGTCAGAACCGTGATCAGGGCCAGCGTCGTCACGGCAACGACGGCGCCCATAATCCTGCCACTCTCATCTTCTTCAGGGTTCGAGATGGCCGGGGGCAAGCCCGGTGCAGGCGCTTCGCCGTCTGACATGTCAGGCGTCTGGTTGATGGCTGACCCGCCGCTCAGGTTCGTGGGATCAAGGTGTCGGGATGTCGAGACAGAGCGCAGAGCTGGGGGTTACGTTGACTCATTTATTACGAATCACTGGCCGCACGCGCACTTCTTAGTGTAAATGTACGTAGCATCGGAAAAGGGGGGGCGGTTCAAGACCAGCCGCGGCGCCTGAGCCAGACACACCACAACCCGACGTGCCGTAGAGGTACCTGCAGTCTGCGGAGGTCCGTTGCTGCAGATGGATCCTCAAACGTGTTAGCGGCCCGGATCTGGATGAATGTGAGGACGTACATACATGTAGCTGGTCCATTTCGGAGTCACAAGAAACGTGGCGCACGCGGCCCAGCGGTACTGCACAGAGTACTGGCTTGGCAGACCTGCGTCCCGACAAAAGCCAAATGTCCGAGACGGTGGCAGGTAGGTAAAGTAGGTAGGCCGTAGAATGTGGCGAGGCTATCTCGGAGAACAACGTCTTGTTGGGGAAGGTATTGATGGCAGGACTTCCCTGTTTGGAAGCGACTAAGTAACGTACAGCTGCGTATAGTCGAGCGAGATTTGAGCGTGGATGCTCGAGCCGTCGGTCTGCCTCTGCAATGGTACGCTGCCGCTGAGGCACTGCCTCACCGGTGATACCACATGTACGTACTCTGACAAAGGAAGCCTTGACGAGTTGAGACGGGGTGCGTACATACAGAGTACCCATTTCTGTGACCTCCTTGATCGCCAACATTAGGAGATGTAGCAGTGGAATTAGATTCCAGGGTGCGATCGATCTACGGAGTACGTATCCGTCCGCACCCGCCGATGGAATGCGACAAATCGTGTAGGATCCGAGGCCTTGACAAGTTGACATCTCGCCACGGCATGTTCCGTACACGACTTGATGACCGCGCGGAAACTCTCCCTCGTCGATTGGCTCCATCCTCGATTCCTCCCAGTTCCCTTGAGCATGGGCGATTGCAACGTGGCTGCACCCCAACTCGTTGAAAGCGCTTGGCCTTTGGCTGCAGGAGGAAATCTCGGCTAATACAGTCCACTTACGGACAGACGCACTTGACAACTCAAGTTTCAGCCAATGCTCGGCCCCAAACAAGTTACGAGGTGCCATGGCATGCACGCATGGCGCCTCGCGAGGGCCTTGGCGCCAATAAAAAGACTTCAGGGTCCAGGGGGGAGGCTTTTCACCTCTTTAGCCGGCCAAGCAACTAGTCCCGGGGACGCATATACGCTTATCCTCTGCCGGCCTCGGTCACAGCTCAATCTTGGCGCGTCGTCCGACTCTGCCGCTTCTAGTTCTACAACAACATGTCGGTAGTGTTGCTGTCGGCGGAATCGGTAACACCCTAACACCGGTCGTTCGCCCCCGTTGTGGGGGATCGGTTACATGGGTACGGGCATTAGGACCGGATTCCGGCGACACATCCGCGTTCCGCGTTCGCCAGCTGAGACTCTGAGAGAGGGTACTTAGTGGTGCGGTAAAACCTGGTATATGGAGTATTGTCAAAGTCGAGATTCAGCTGCATGAGCTAGCACGCACGCACATGATTTCCTCCTGCCTCAATGGGAGATCTGGCCGAGCTGTCGAAAACGTGGGCCGCGACTGGCAGCCTCCTCATGCAGCCTCGAAACTTCTCCCGCACGATGCGCATGGAAATAAAGGCCCATCTGCTGATCGACCATTTCCCCCAACTTGCAAGCCATTCGTCTCACATTCATTATTCCCACCTGCAACCTGACACACACAAGACGCCATGAGGTTCGGATCGCTAGCGCTGCAACTGTTGCCAGCCGCCTCGGTGGTCCTGGCTGCACCCGCTCCCGACACCACCCAGAGTGCTTTGGATGATATTGCTTCCCTCGCCGACAAGGCCCTCAAGCAGGCCGAGACAGAAGCATCTGACAATGCTCTGAGGAAACGTGAGGGGGAGAACACTTGCTCCTGGGAGAATGTCAGCATTCGCAGGGAATGGTAAGAAACACATCATCATGCATACATGTACCATGCCCCAACAGCGCTAACAGATCGTCATCCAGGGGCAATCTGTCCAAGAAGGAGCGCAAGTCGTACACGGACGCGGTGCTCTGCCTCCAAGAGAAGCCTGCGCGTACGCCTGCCGAAGTGGCCCCCGGTGCGAAGACGCGCTTTGACGACTATGTCGCCACGCACATCAACCAAACGCTCCAGATCCACTACACGGGCAACTTCCTCGCGTGGCACCGATACTACACGTGGCTGTACGAGCGTGCGCTGCGGGACGAATGCGGCTACACAGGCTACCAGCCGGTATGTAGGACGAAAGACCAGCGGAGGGTGATGCAGCTGACCTTGTATAGTACTGGGACTGGGCCAAGTCGGCCATCACTGGCATGCACGACTCGCCCATCTTCGACGGCTCCGACACCTCCATGTCTGGCGATGGCGAGTTCATTCCTGACCGCGAGGAGATCATCCTTGGAAAGGCACAGGGTCTGCCCCCCATCTACCTGCCAGTGGGCACCGGTGGCGGCTGTGTCAAGTCGGGCCCATTCAAAGACATGGTGGTGAACCTTGGGCCTGCTGCCCTCGACTTGCCGGGAGGCCTCGTCGCCGCCAACCCAGAGGGACCTCTTGCCCACAACCCCCGTTGCCTGAAGCGCGACCTCACGACCGAGATCAACCGTCGCTATGCCAATGCCTCGGCCGTGCTGGCCAACCTGATCCAGCCCACGAACGTCTACGACTTCCAGATGCAGATGCAGGGCGTCCCTGGATCTGGTACCATTGGTATCCACGGTGGTCCTCACTACAGCCTGGGAGGCGATCCTGGCCGTGATGTCTTTTCGTCCCCAGGCGATCCCGCCTTCTACCTGCATCACGCCAACATTGACCGCATCTGGTGGATTTGGCAGATGTTGGACCCCAAGACCAGACAGCGCAGCGACCAAGCGATTGCGGGAACAAACACGTTTTTGAACCAGCCTCCGAGTGCCGACACGACTCTGGAGGATTATGTGAATTACGGCTATGCGGATGGGCCGTCGCGTCAGATCAAGGATTTGATGAGCACCTTGGGTGGCCCCTTTTGCTACATTTATTTGTGAGGCTCGATTCAGACGTTGATAGATGGCTTGGACGTGGTATAGAAGCCAGCGAAAATAAACACGTTGTGTCCTAGGGATGGTCGGTGCATGGTGACGTAATCGAGTTGATGTGCAAGGGATGGTTTCTGGAGGAGAGGAGGTCCAGGACTCCAGATTCAATGCGACAGAGATGTGAAGGAAAGGCTCCACCGTGTATGAAAACATCGCTGTCCACTCGCACGTGACCTTACCTTGAACTTGAAGAGTTCATGTTGTCGCCAGCAGCAAACCCGCGTCTTCTGACAACACATGCCTTCATCCAGTCACATAGATCTGCCAAATTTGCTCAGAATTCTGACCTCCAAATGGCTGATGGAAGGCGTGGATAAATGGCAACGCTCCAACACCCCGGTGCGTTATCAATGAGTAAGCCGCGGTGGAAGCATGTGTACTACCTAACCTAAACACACCCCGGTGCCTTGGTAACATCAGCCTCGCCTCACCATACCTAGGTAAGAGCACGGGTCTAGCTTGGGCCTGCAATTGTCCATTGTCAAAAGGAAGTATGTAGGGCGACTTTGGTGATAATTCAGTTTCTTTGTAGCAACACCATTCTTCCAATCTCGTGTGTCTGCCCATACACCAAACCACATTAACACCATGACCCCCGATGGGCCAAACCCAGAGCTAATGCAAAAGAAGCCCAGGGTCAAGAAAAACATACCCGCTCTCCCTCTCGTCCTAATCCACGATGGAGGCGGTACGACAGCGGGATTCTGGTCCCTTGGCAAGCTTCAACGCGATGTTTGGGTTATCCACAACCCCAAGTTCTGGAGTGGCGCCTCCTGGCAGCGCGGCATGGACGAGATGGCCCTGCACTACCTGAGTTTGATCAGAGCCAGGGGCATCTCCGGGCGCATCGTCCTCGGCGGATGGTCTTTGGGCGGCTTTCTGTCTCTGGCGATTGCACGGATGATTGCTGCGCTGGGAAAACAGGACGAGGGGAGTCTGGAGATTTCAGGGCTTCTGATAATCGACTCGCCTTACTTTGAACCATGGTACGAACAGTCGCCCCCCGTCTCGCAGCCTCTGTTGCCCGACATGCTCCCCAAGGTCAAGCAGACCTACGAGAAATGCGACGATCTCCTAAGCTCCTGGTCGCTGCCACGCTGGGGCTGGGACGCGATGGGAGGCGAGCCCGTCACACTGCGTGCTGGTGGGAACAAGCACATCATCCCCCACCGAGCTGCGTTGTACAAGCCTCTCGACAGTGACTGGGTAGTAAAAAAGACAGCCGAAGAGCCCACGACAGATCGTCCAGGGGCACGCATTGATATGGAAGATGACAGGGCGGAGCATGATGTCGAGAAGCTCTCCCCGCCCATGGGTATCCTCATACGGTGCGTGGGTCGAACGCCCGCGCTCGATCAAGGACACCATCCATGCCGCGTGGATTTGTATCGTGACTCCTTGACCCTGGGCTGGGGGCAAGGCTACGAGGACTATATCAAAGTCGTCATGGACGCTACGAACACCCACTATACCATCTTTGACCGCAACAACCGATCCCAGGTAAGTCTTCTCACGCCAGGGGCTCAATGCATCAGTCTGACGATCAAAAGATTAAGCACGTCACTTCGTTACTCAATCAAGCTCTGGATATCTTTGATCAGCGGGAATTGGGTTCCATGGCTTCTATCTAGTTATGCAGTGTGCGATGGCATGTAGGCCATGTGAGACAAAGCAATTTTGGGCATATTCAGCATGACATTGAAAAGAAGGAACCATAAAGGGCAACCGGAAAGCAAGCAAACAAATGAAACAAATAGGCAACACGTGACAAGCCTGGCTGGCAAACCTTACCTTCGCAGAGTGTCATGGAAGCATTCCCCCATCAATCTTGTCCTTCGAACCGCTCCATCAACGACTCCCGGATGTTGTCTGCCAAGTCAAGAAGCGAAGCGCTCTGCACGATGCTCATCACATTGGTTTCGACGGCAAACTTTTGCCGGACCCAGTTCCTCAACTCCATGGCCACGAGAGAATCAACACCAATGTGCTCGGGCGACTGCTCTACCTTGATACTGTCCTCGTCCTGGATCAGGAAATCGGTCAAGGCCTTGGCGACGGCCGCGGCAATCGTCTCGGTCGTCTTTTCCTCCTCCAGGACAGACGGCCTCGACGCAGCGAGAGCCAGCAAACTCGCTATGCCGTCTTGCTCGGTGGTCGCCTTGGCGGCCGCGTTGGCTTGACCATTCATATTGTGGTAGACGCCAGCCCGCACGTCAGCCTTCCACACGACCCGCGTGTTGGGTGCCGCGATCGGTGCGCTGGTGCAAAAACCGAGGATGATCTGGCTTGGGTTCCAGTGCGCGCCGTGCACGTCGACCTGCGCGTGGGCATTGGGCGTGGGCTTGGATCGCTGGATGGCCAGGTTCATGGCGTCGAGAAGCTCCGTCTCTTTAAGGATGCGCATTCCCGAGCGCTTGAAGTGATCCAGAATATCCCGGTTCTTCCACACAAAGCCCACCTCGCCCATGACGCCTATGTCGATGACAGACGCCGCATGGCCTTGGGCGTGTCTGTATTGCACAAAAGCGTCCAGGAACGTGTTGGCGGCAGCATAGTTGGCTTGGCCCCACTGGCCGACGATACCGCTGTAGGAAGACGCGAGGACGAAGAAGTCGAGCTGTTCACCCATCAGGCACTGATGGAGGTTCCAGGTCCCTTGCACCTTGGGCGCTACCGCCGCGGTCCAGTCGTCAAAGGACATCTCGGCGAGAGACATATCCTAGGGAGAGTATTAGTACGGAGCATCAAGACTTGTCTTGTCATTCTTACCCTGAGTACCATGGAGAGATTCAAGACGCCGGCAATGGGCTTCGTGACGCCCTGTATAGCCGCCTGGACGTCTTCGAGCACACCAACGCTGCCCTGGGCCAATTGCACCTCGCAACCTTGGGACTCCAGGTCCCGTTGGAAGTCTTCAATCAGTCCACCGGACTTTGCAGAGCGAGAGAGGAAGATGAGGTGTCGGGCACCCCGCTCGACCATCCATGTGGCAACGGCGCGCCCCAGACCACCGAGCCCTCCCACCAACAGATAGGAGCGATCAGAACGGAGAGAGGTGCTCGAGATCAACTCGGTGGACTCGAGAGTGGTGGCGTCTTCGGGGAACTTGACGATAATCTTGCCAATGTGGCGTCCACCCTGCATGTATCGAAAGGCGTCCTGGACTTGAGAAGCCTCCCAGGTCTTGGCGATGGCACCTGGTTTGATGAGACCGTCCCTGATCCAGCCAACGCATCTTTCAAGCAGCCTGTTAGATGTGGTTAGCACTCTTGTCAAGGAGGCCGTGTCAGGTCTGGGGTCATTAGGTCTTACTCGGCTGCCTTCTCCGGCCTGACCTGTGAGATCTGCCAGAGATCGAGGCCAACAAATGTTCGATTCTGCTCGAAGGACTCCATTGACAGTTTCGCCCGGCGACGGAAGTCTCTCTTGCCAATCTCGATCATAGTACCAAACTCGGCGACACACTCCCAGGACGCGTGCAAGAGGTCGCCCGAGAGAGAGTTGAGGACCACGTCCACTCCCTTGCCCTTTGTGTGGTCCATGACATCGCGCAGGAAGGACGCGTCCCGCGAGTTGTAGATGTGATCGCGCGGGATCCCACAGTTGTTCATGATGTATCGAATCTTCTCCTCGTTGGACACGGTACAATAGATCTGCCACGGGCCAGCGTTAGTTATCTGTGTCTGGGCTGCCACAAGTATTAACGTACCTCTGCGCCGAGCATTTGCGCAATCTGGATGGCGGCAAGCCCGACACCGCCACAGGCCGAGTGAATCAGGACTGTCTGGCCCGCCTGAAGGTTGGCCTTGTCTGTCAAGGCCATGGCGGCCGTCGCGTAGACACATGGCAAGCCAGCGCCTTGCTCAAAGGTCAGGCTGTCGTCGATCTTGACACACAGCGTTTCCGACAGCGCCAATTGGGTGGCAAAGCATCCGCTGGACATGTAGATGACTGTGTCGCCCACCTTGAGCTTCTCGGCGCCCTGTCCCACAGCAGTGACAATACCACAGCCCTCGAGACCAATCTCGGAAGTACTGTTGTCCAGAACTCCAAGTGCGATCAGGACGTCCTAGAAAAATTAATCAGTCTCAGAGAACAGAAAAAAAAGGGGGGTTCACTTACTCGGAAGTTCATACCTACGGCCTTTGTCTGCACGACAACTTGACCTTGCGAGGGGACTGGCGCTTCGCCCTCATGCCAGCCCATGGTATGCAGCAAGCCTGGTGCCCGGAGACCGAGCTTCTTCAACGGAATCTTGAGTTTGGTATCATCAAAGTTGGACGCGGACGCATCGTGCATCGTCTGCCAGTGCAGACGAGGAACCAGCGTCTCACCATCACAGATGGCGTACTCCCAGTCAGGGTCCATGGACTCGGCGTCGGGCTCTGTGGCCTGGACCTTGAGGAAGATCTGCGCAACGCAGTCGGTGGCCCGCTGCCTCTCTGTCTTGTCATCAATCTCGACGGTGTAGAAGTTGATGGAAAGCTCATTTCGGGCCGTCCTTGCGAAACCCAGACTCATGGCCGTCCTGGGGTCCTGGCAGGACACTTGGACCGACCGTGTCACCCATACCAGTTTAGACTGTAGCGACTTGACGACTTCGAGCACCTGATGGAATGACTGCTCGGAGAAGTCGTGAAGAATGGGTTGCTGCAAGTCAAGGATGGACACGATATCCTGGCGCGGCAGGACGTCGCCCAGGCGATGAGGGTGAACCGTCATCCCCTGTGCCACCAAGCTTGCCTTTACTTCATGGTAGTATGGGCCTTCGTCGCAACAAAGGAGCGTCACTGATGTTGGCGCGGCCACCTTTAGGCAGGGCGAGGCCAAGATGCCGGCGCTCTGGTGGTATGGAGCGATGCCATCCAGAACGAAAGCGTCGGGCTCATTGAATCCGGCCGCCACGAGCTCCTTTGACCAACGGTCCCGGGAAACGTAGGGCTCATCCGGTCGACTGTCCTCCTCACCTAGCCACCAGCCGGGCAGGAAGCCCATGACATAATTGATGAATTTGGCGTCTGGGATCACTGTCAGTAGGAAATGGCCCGATGCACCATCGGTACAGTGGGGGTCAGTTCTCTCTTACCGGGACATAGTTCCTCCAGGAAGAGGCGGCCTCCAGGGCTGAGGAGCTGACGTAGGTGTTTGAGGGATGTGTGCAGACTAGGCGTTGCGTGAACCACGTTGGAACCAACAATGAGATCAAAACCGCCCTCCGCCAACCCTTGGCTGATGGGATCCTGCGTGATGTCGAACGAGGCGTACTCTATGCCTTCCACGTGGGCGAATCGCTCCTTGGCAGCCGTCATGAAGCCCAAGGAAATATCCGTGTACAGATAGCTGCTGTACATGCGCTCTCCGTAAGGGGACATGAGAGCCGCCAACACCTTGGACGTGGTGCCACCAGTACCAGCTCCCACCTCCAGCACTCTCATACGAGGGTTGGTATGCGCGAGCGTGCGGACGGCGTGCGTAAAGTCGAGCGCATCACCGACGGCATACAGCTCACCCAAGACATTGTCCTTGAGCAGAATGTGCAAAGGGTGAGCCTCTCCGGCAAAGATGGCTTTCGCCTCCATGAACAGCCTGTGGATGGCTGTAGCGAAGACAGCATACTGGGACTGGGACACTTGTCCGACAATCGTATTGATCCTCGCCAGTCTCGCTGCGCTGTCTAGCTCACAGAGTTGGCTCTCGGGCTTGAGGAACGCTGCCTGTCCCTGTTGGTAACGGGCCACGTACTTCTGCATCCACTCGAAAAACTTGATCAGGTGACTTGGGGTGCTTTCGGAAACTTTGATCATGTCCAGGTGGTCCAAGGAGCACAAGAGCATGAGCTCCTCTACCAGCGGCCACTCGTCAGGGCACGCTTCTCGCGGGAGCAATAGACGCTCCATGTTGACAAAGTCCTGATGGGGCTTCCAGTGCATCTGAGTGATAAGAGGGGCACTCTCATCCGCACCATCGTTGCTCGTCAGAGCCGACGCCTTGAAACCTTTGAGGGAGAGTATAGTGTGACCGCCGTCCTTGGCAGAAAGACTTCCGACGAAAGACCCACGCTCAGAAGATTCGATGAGGGCTCCGACCCTCATATCTGCCTGCGTAGGCCTGACGATGAGCTCTCGAATGAACGTCGGCACGGCGATCGTCGTACAGTTACGGGCCAGGCCTCGATAGGCTGATACCGTGAAGAGCTGGAAGCACTGATCAATGACAGCAGGGTGTAGGGAGTACCTGTCTCCTCGGTTGGCCTCTTTTGTCTCCACCGTAGCCAAGGCCTCGTCCTTCACGGTGGCAGACGTGAGGGCTTTCAGGCCGCGGAAGAGCCCAGTGTAGTTGAAACCGGCTCGGTTCAGTAGAGCGTACCAGTCGTCCTCGTCGACCTTGCGTGGCAGGCCCGCTGGCCACTCGTCTGCTGACTCGAGGTTGACAGACTTGTCCACGGAAGGCTTCACCTCGCCGGAGCAGTGCTTGGTCCACCTCGTGCCGTCATAAGACGTGACGGTGAAGCTGTAGGCGGTAGATTCGTCTGCCGAGTCCACCGTCACCGGCGTAAGCCTCGTGACAAGTTCCACGACCTTGTCATGGTCCAGTACCAGGCCAGCGCTGATGCTCATGTTCTTGATGGTGT